CGCAAATCGTCTTGGCGGCGGTGTCACAATTGGCAACGCCCACGTCACAAGCGGCCTCGCGCATGCGAGGGCCAGCCTGAGTCGTACTTGGTGGCTGCCGGGGATGGCCGCCAGCACTGAGATGGCAGTCTCGAGCTTCTGCCAGCCGCCCCTCGGGATGATGGGGACGGCGTGGTCTGTAGGTGTAGCAAGAATGCTCAGATGTTCCACTTGGACAGGAACGGGGTCATCGATACTCCAGCGTTGCCTTCTACTCTGGTTCTCACAATGCCCGGTAGACGTGTCGAACTGCTGTGTCATCTGCAAGTCCCTGTCGAGATCGTCGGTATTCTGCGCCGCCAGGCTTCTGTCGTCCATGAAAGCGTGTCCCTGCAATGTCGGTACCCATGGCACCAATGTCGATATGAATGTACAAGGCGCCGTGCTGTCACCCTGAGGTAGGCCTCGGCACGGGTCCAGTGGTCGTGCAAGCTCGCCCTGGATACAGCATATCCGCGGGCCCTTCCACGCAGCGTAGCATGTGTACATGACGGCATACGGCATGGCTGAGTGGTCAGCCGCTTCCGAGGCCAGGTCGTGGTCCACCTGATCGGAACAGGCTGAGAGGCCCCCATCTGTGCGCCACACGGACCTTCCGTGTAATCTTTCAGCCACTTGGAGGCCGCGTGCACCACAGACGCATGTCTGCGGTTGGCCCACTGCAGGTCTGGAGGAGAAGCTGATGCCGTCGCCAGGGCCCGTAGCCAAGCTCTCAGCAGCACTGATCCCACCGAGATGGGACGAATAGCTTCCTCGTTCTTCGGAATGCCAGCTACCGGCCAGGGAAATATGGCGTGCAGCACTTCAGGAGGTAGTCTACCTCGGAGCTCGACTGCTTGTTGTGATGTCATGACCCACAGGTCGTACAACTCCTCGATGATGGTGGGGTAGATATTCTCGAGAGCCTTGACCTCGCGACTTGTCCAACCGTCGATCCCAGGGCATCCTTTAGCTTGTCGGGCTGCTGCCACGAAGGTATCCAGCGTAGGCATCCAGTCCTGTGCGCATGACGACTTCGGGAAAGCCGCTGCCGAGGCGTGTTGCCTCCATGCGTTGACGTAGCCCGTGTTATCGTACTTGTCTGGCTTCGAATGCTTGGCCCACTGCTCGCGCATGTCTGCGGCGGAGTGGGCTGGTGCTGGTTGGCCTCCCTTGAAGAGCGGGGTGGCCGCTTTCCACACGTCGTTGCTCCAGCTCGCGAAGCGCTGTCGCCACTGTGCGCCGTTCCTCTTCTGCACCTGGTACTGCTCGATGGTGATCCCCTGGGAGATCCAGTCCAGCGCGGCGGAGTATGTCGGGATGCCCACTGCCTTGATTTGGGCCAGTCCGCCCAATGCTGCGGCAGCGGGCTGTGTGTAGTGCATGGTCTCCAGTCTGGTGGAACCTGGAGCTCCTTGGCGTAGGTGTGCTGCCAGCCGTCGGTGCAGTCGTCGGGGTCGTCGCAGTGCGATCGTCTCGTCAGGTCTGTGTGCTGGGCAGTGTGAGGTCGGCCGTGAGGTTGGCTGTGGGCCTTTTATCCCTCCCGGCCTCGCTTTGCGCTGATAACAGTCCATGCTCGACTGCCAACCTCAGCGCCTTCTCCGCCCTCGTGTGCCAGTACTGCCAGCGCTCCAGCAGCGGGGGGTCGGTGTCTTCGTTCAGGTAGCGGGGAGGCCCCACCTCCTGGTCCAGCTGCTCTTGAAGTCGCTCTTTTTCCCCATCGTTGGGGCTGCGCTCTGGTGTGTATGCTGCTGTGCGTCGGAGTCGGGTTGGTGTCGGATTGACATGCGTGATGCTTAGCACGTATCCCACCAATGCGTGATGCGGAATACCTGGCAACAGGTGCGTCGTTGTCTGCTCTGGTGCAGCTCCTTCTCCCCACAACAGGGCTCTCGTCGGACAAGTGCCTGCTGCCGTGGTGGATGTCTCTGCGCCTCTTCGCACCGTCCTCATATGCCAGCGTGTGGTCAGAGCGGAATAAAGAGGGCGCCAGTTGAGATCTCCAATGATGTAGACTGGGTGGCCCAGATGTCCCAACGATTGGAAATATTCGAAGGCGTGCTGAAACCAAGCTCTGTCCACTCCCACTGGGCCGTAGACGGACAGGAACGTAGCAGTAGCACAGCGTATCCCGACCATGCGGTGGCCGAGGTCCTTGTGGCGAATGACGGTGATCTTGCCCAGTGAGCGGCGCCAAAGGATAGCGCAGCCTCCCTGTCGCACCGTGCCCCGCTCCTGCGTTGGTGGTGGATCTGAACAAACAATACTCCACCCATATCTCATGGCCGTCTGAAAAATCCATCGTGGTCGTAGTTCGTGATGGCGTATCTCCTGAAGACAGAGAACTGTCGCAGTGGACACAGGTGGTGTCTCCAGGATGGTGATGAGTCTCGCTTTTGAAATACTGGTAACGTTGATAGTACAAACTTGGAGCTTGGTGGTGTCTGAGCTCGGTTCCCCTGTCGGAAAGAGGTCGTCAGGATCCAGCTCCTCTTCCAGCCCCTGTCGTTTGTGCTGTGCCTGGCTTGGGCTCGAGGAGCACCCAAGGTCAGGGCTTGGTGGAGGGTACGTCAGGCCAAAATCCCCGGCGGCTGTCGTCGCCCTTGAGGCCGACGATTGTGACAATACGTGTGGCTGTCCAGCACGTGGCGACTGAGCCTGGGAAGCAGACGTCGGCAGAAGCCAGTCGCGACCAGGACTTGCGCTCTTTACGCCAGAACTTCTTGGTTTGGCAGACAGGGACCTACACACTTGTCCCTTGCCAGTGCGTTCTAACCCATGTCCAGCATGTGGCAGCGGTGCCTGGCCCGAGCTCGAGGAGCACCCGAGACCAGGACTTGCGTTCTGACCTTGAGGGAGACTGGCAGAGAGGGGCCCCAAGGGTCCCTTGCCAGTGCGTTCTGACTGCGAACTCGCTGCCGTAGGACAGACCGTTGGCGTAGGCGTCGACGGTGTCGTTGGTGTACCCGTAGCTGCAGTACCTGTGGCCGAAGCTGTACAGGTAGGTGAAATCAGTGTCGAGGGTGAACCAGTAGTAGCGGTACCTGTGGCCGAAGCTGTAAAAGTAGGCGTAGGCAAAGGCAAGGATGAACCAGTCGCCGATCCCCGCGAGGCGAGGTGCGGGAACGTTTAGCCTTCGGTGTGGGACTCGAAGGGTGCGCAGAAACTGCATCAGAAACTTGTTGTACATGCTCATTGGCCACTGCAAATACAGCACTTGAATTCTGATCTGCAAATACAGCCCTTGAATTCGGCGTAGTGGCTCGTGCTTTTTTGGGTGGTGGTCCTCTCGGCTGGGCCGCGGGATCCGAGGGTCGTGAGACCGTGGCTTGCTTGCTTGGGGCTTCTGTCTTTTGTCGCTTGCTTGGTGGTGTCGGCCCCTGTGTGGAGCGTCCTCCGCACAGGAGCGGGTCCCGTCAAAGTGGGCTCGGCTCGTTGTGGGCTGCTGGCTTCCTTCGCACCGGTGCTCGCTTGCACACCGTCGGTAGCCCCAGTGCTTCACGTCGTAGCCGTTCCTTGCGTTCGTACTGCTTCCGCCCGTAGCGCTCGTAGTACCTGGCGTAGTAGCCTGGGGCCTTGGAGGACTTCTTCCAGTGCTGCTTCACCCGCCTGGCGGAGTCGGCAACTCGCTTCTTGGCAACGTCTTCCCCCACGAGTCTGGCCATGCCCATCTGGAGGGTGACCCCCTCTGGGCGCCGCTTGCAGGGGTAGCCGCGGAACTTGGCAAGACATAACTGCTTGCCACACTTGATGCAAACGTACTGTGTGCTCATCATGCGCGTGTGCTGCACGCTCCTGGCCGATCCCTCTCCAGGATCACAGGCCACCTCACGCTGTGAAGGCGTGAGCTCGGCCCTCCAGAGCTGGAAGCGTCTCCATGCTTTGTCTCTCTTGGCCTTGTTCATGTCCGCAACCGCGGGTGGCTCTGTGACTACGCAATTGACGATGATGTCGTCGCCAAAATGCTGTCTCCGTTGACATGCGGCTGCATGGCCCCCCTCCCAACAGTCAGCAACCTGGTTTCCAGCAAATGCAGAATTGGCAGAACCTGCTGGCAAGAATCAAGCTGGAAAACGTGGCTAGACTAACACAGGGACTGCGCCGTCAACTGGCGAGTCTGGACGCGCCTGATTTGTCAGCACGCCTTGGTGAGTTACTTTCCAATTGCGCAGGCGACGCAACGCGAAGCTCCGCTGCAAGCGCTGGGGTTTGCAAGAGCCACGAGGACCACCAGAAACTCCTGGACTTTAGAAGGCAATGGCGATGATCGCAGACAGGGGAGGATCCGATGACACACCGATCAAAACCTACTGCTTGACTGAATCGACGTTGAAATTTACTGCGATCGCCGCTGCTATCGCCAACATGGCAGACATCCTCTGGAAAATACGCTTCTTCAAAGCGTGCCCGATGGTGCCCTGGAGCCACCTGAGGGAGACGTAGTCGCTTGAGGTGGGAGACGGAGAGACACGACAGGAGGAGGTCAGCACACATGATAAACACAAAGGGCATGGGACCAGGGGGAAGAGAAGCTCATCGTCATCGTCGTCGTCAACATCGCCCCCAATGGGAAGGAAAGTTGCAGCGTGTCTTCTAGCACCAAAGGGGAGCCTCTTCGAAGAACGGACTTGTGTGCGAAAGTTGCGTGTTCCGCCCCTGCTCCTCGGGGCAGGGCGAGTTGAGATAATGGCAACTCAAAGTCGGCTCCCAGACTCCTCCTGGAGTCCTAAGACACTAGATTTGCGAGCTGCGTCCAGCCGTGGCGACGAGGAGGTCCTCTGAAGGCCACCTGCTGTTGTCTCAACTCGACCTCCTCCTCTTCCTCCTGCTCCTCGTCCTCTCCCTGCCTCGGCCAATCGAAATTGGACACCCACCAACCCTGCGGTGTCCTGAAATTCTGCCAGCCCCTTCCGCCCGCCCGCCAGCACATGCCTCCCCTTTCCCTCGTGGCGATGGCTACGCGCACCCCCCCTGCCATCGCCGCACCATCACGGTGTCATCCGGCGGGTCATCCGCCTCGATTATCTTGGTCACCTTTTGGCCCGAGGTCGGGGAGCCGCACGAGAGATCGCGAGGAATGGAGCGCAGGAGGCATGAAGGCAACGACAAGGACGAGGCCGAAGAGATGGACATCGCGGGGCGCAAACTCCCACCAGCCCTCTGGGCATAGGTGGTCTAACGAGATTCCGCTTTCCTCTTCCAGAACAGTCTTCCCCTCTGGGAGGGTGACCCTCCCCCCCTGCCTGTGTTTTTCGTCTTTTTGGGAAGGGAGGGGGGCACGATGTGCCAGGGTCGCCTTTTTCGTGCAAGAAGGCTCCAAGAGGAAATCCGAAGCTCCATGGTGGTCTTCAAAATTACTCACGATACCCCAAGACGGTTCAAGCTGGCTTTCGACATGCCTCCAAAAGGCCCCAAGAAGACCACAAGACGGCTCCCAATGCTTTCGGAGCCCCCTCAGGATTCCCCCAAGAGGCCAGCATCCTTCCAACAACACATGGAACATCAACGATGTGTGCCTTCTCGCCTTTTCTCTCCGATGTGGCTTGGGGGCCTCAAGATGGCCCAAGAGAGATCTAAGAGTGGCCCAAGAGGCTCCCACACTGGCCCCATGAGCGCCCAAAGAGGGCCCCAAGATGCGAATTAGATGGTTTCAGGGGGACACGGGAAATGTAGGACACACCACTCTTTGGATCAATGCCCTCCAGGATTGCCCCAAGAGGCCTTCCAAGGCTCCCAGGAGGCCCCCAAGAAGGGCGCCACGAGAGCCCCAAGACTCCCGTAGCCCCAAGAGGACCCCAAAACTCTTCAAGAGGGCCCCAAGGGGACCCCGAGAGGGCCTCCAGAAGATCCCAAGATGTACGCCAGCCTTCGTCGTCGTCGTCGTCGTCCTCCTCCTCCACCTCCTGTTCGTCTTCGTTCTCTTCCTCCTCGCCCTCCGTTTCCTCATCGTCCTCCTCCTCGTCCCTGTCTCCTCCCCGTCCTCCTCTTCATCTTTCTCCTCGTTCTCGTGCTTATCCTGGGTCTGTTCGGGCCGATTCCAAACTTGTTCCTCTGAGTGTTCCTGCGCTGCCCTGGTCATGGCATCACGCCTGGACATCAATCTTGCAGGGGCTGATGGAGGCACGCGAAGTGCCAAGAACAAGGAGGGTGCGCCGCTGGATCTCCCCAAGGGGGGGGGGTAGGACCCCCCCCCCCTTCCCCTCCCCGATCCGTCGTCGGGCAACCCCCCCCTCCCTCCCCCCCTTCCCCGATCCGTTCGGGGACCCCCCCCCCTCCCCCCCTTTCAAAAGGGGGGGGGGTATGACCCCCCCCCCCCCCCCCTCCCCCTCTTTCGCCACGCCGCCCCCTGACGCCGGAACCCGACCCCCGCCACCCCTACCCCTAGTCCTCACCGAACCCAAACCCGAATCGAACCCTAACCACTAACCCCAGCCCCAAAGGGAGTCGAGGGGCCCCTGCCCCCTAACCACAAACCCCAGCCCCCTACTCACTACCCTCTACTCACTACTCGCTATTCGCTACTCACGACTCACTACTCACTATCCACTACTCACTACCCACCACCCACTACTCGCTACTCACTACTCCCTACTCACTACTCCCTCCTCCCTACTCACTACCCACTCCCCACTACCCACTACTCACTACTCACTACTCACTAAGCACTACTCACTACTCCCTATTCACTACTCAATAATCACTACTCAGTACCCACAACCCACTATCCACTACTCATTACTCACTACTAACTACTCATTGCCCACAATTCACTACTCGCTACTCGCTACTCCCTACGCCCTACACAATACTGACTACACAGTACCCAGTACTCGCTACTCGCTACTCCCATACTCGCTACTCAATACTCACTACTTTCTTCCCGCTACTCACGATTCACTACTCACTACTTACTACTCCCTACTCACTAAGTCACTACACAGCCACTAGTCACTAGTCACAACTCACTAGTCACTAGTCACTACCCAGTACTCACCAATCGCTACTCACTACCCACTATTCGCTACCCACATCCTACTACTCACTGCTCACTACTCCCTACTCCCTATTCAGCACTCACTACTCACTACTCGCTACCCCCTACTCGTGACTCACTAATCACTACCCACTACTCACTACTGACTACACTCTACTCACTACGCACTACTCACTACTCGCTACTCACTACCCACTGCCACCACCCACTACTTTCTATTCACTACTCATCACTACTCACTACTCACTACGCACTACATACTACTCAATACTCACTACTCACTACTCACTATTCACTACTCACTACTCATTACTCGCTACTCACTACTCACTACTCACTACTCACTACTCACTACTCACTACGCACTACGCACCACCCACAACTCACTACTCACTAATCACTACTCGCCACCCATTACTCACTATCCACTACTCACTACCCAGTACTCATTACTCCCTACTCCCTACTCAGTACCCACTACTCGCTACTCGCTACTCATTACTCGCCACTCACTACTCACTTATCAGTACACACAAATTACTCACTGTTCACTATAGTATACTCACTACTCCCCACTCCCTACTCCCTCCTCCCTACTCGCCACTCACTACCCACTACTCCCTACTCACTACTCACCACTACTCACTACCCAATACTCACTCTACTCACTACGCACTAACTCACTACTCACTACTCACCACGCCGTACTCCCAACTCCGTACTCCCTACACGAGGGGGAGGGGGGTCCGACCCCCCCCCCCCTTTCCAGCGCCAAGGGGGGAGGGGAGGGGGGTCCGGACCCCCCCCCCTCCTTCAAGGGAGGGAGGGGTGGGTGGGTCCGGGACCCCCCCCCCCCTTGAAGGAGGGGGGGGGGGGGGGGTTCTGGACCCCCCCCCCTTGAAGGAGGGAGGGGGGGGGGGGGGTTCTGGACCCCCCCTCCCTTTAGTATATTCAGGGAGATCCACTGGCGCACTTTCAAGAACAAGTACACAACTTGACAGTGCACAACTGTACGTGGCATCCCTGCGTTTGAATGACCTTTTGAAACAAAGACTTGCGCAAATCTCAAGCGACCGACAAACGCAACGTGCCTGCAATAATCATTCCGCACACCAAACTTCCATAATGGTTTAATAGCTGCTGTTGCAAACGAGCAGTCGGCAACGAATGCCGAATTTACGTGTAGGCCGCCGGCCCCCTTCGGGGCCAGCAGGATGCGAGGCCTAGTTGCGACTGCGCCCTGCATCAAATCCTGCTCCCAGCGTCGACAATGACGACAGATGTCTTGACTCCGATGTTGTAATGGTTGAGGTCCGCGCGCGAAAACTGTTGTTTGCCACACCGGACTAACGTGTAACAATTTTGGGGACGCTAGGACACGCAGGCTACGACAGACTCGCGCCCCCAAGGCCACAAGCCCTGGCAAATGGCTAGTACTGCGCATTGGCACTCTCCAGGCCACACCCCCTGGGGAATTGCAGAGAACTTGCGCTCCCCCAAGCCACAGCCCCTTGTACATTATAACAAGTTTGCGCCCCCGAGGTCAGCGATCCTCAAACGACCCCGTGTGACTGTGTAATGTGCCCCTTCCGGTCCCAGGGGCTGGTCTTTCTCGTCGCAAATTCCACGCTCGAGAGAACCACATGTTGACGAACTACAGGCTCGAGCTCCCCCAAAGGAGAGAGACGAAGCACATAATCCCCCTCTCTCAATCGATGCACATACACACGCGAAACAGAACGGTTCACTGATGGATCGCAACGAGCTCCACTGACAATTGTTCTAGGCATTTCCTGACCACGAGACCAACGCCGTCCGAGGTCCGAGAGCAGTAACTCGCGGCGTTGAGCACTCTGCGAGAGGTAAGAGAGAGAGAGAGAGAGAGAGAAAGAGAGAGAGAGAGAAAGATAGAGAGAGAGAGAGAGAGAGCGAGACAAGGATTCACCACAGAGAAGGAGGAGCTGAGGAGGAGAATGAGGAAGGAGGAGGGGGATATTCAAGGGCATTCGGATGCGTAGGACGCTGTCGAGCAAGAGCGAAGACGCGAGGCGGGAGGGAAGCATGATGAGGAGGGTACGAGGCGGGGCGCGCGCGTCCGAGGACGAACACGCGAAGCATGATGAGGAGGGATGCAGCAGAGCGTGGGAGGACGGATGAGATGTGGACAGATATCTATATATATATATATACATATAGATATATACATATATATATTACATATAGAAAAAGAGAGACATATGAAGAGAGAGAGAGAGAGAGAAAAAGAGGATGGGGACTGGTTTGTTGGTGTGACGAGGGTATAATACAATATGGTGCACCATTCGCTGTGAGGGCAAACTGGGGAAGACAACACAACGTGGACGAAAGAAACCCAGACCAACATAAGATGCCATCATCCTCCTCGTCGTCAGCATCGCCCCCTTCCTCAACTTACGTGTAATCTGCCTCCACGTCATCCTCCTGCCGCAAGCAAACTCAATATCCAGAATCGCCTTCTCCTTCGACACGCCCGTCTTCTTCTCAAGCGCCTCTCCCTCTGGGGGCAACCGCTTGCTCGCGTCCCACCCAGCTGCCACATGTTCTCTGCAAGCGCACTGCTCCCACCAATTCATATGTTCACAACTCAACTACTCAACTCCTCTACACTACGTCCATAGAGAACGTGCCACTGCCTTTCAACACCATCTCCATTTCTTTCCCCAGCACGGGATGCTCCACGCTCACGGGTGCAGGTGGCCAGTCTGGCCAGTGCTGGAGGAGGAAGAAGGGAGGGAGCACGAAAGAGAAGGGGGGAAGGGGATCAGCGAGCTGCAGCAGGTCTGCTTCGTGGTCTGGTTCTTTCTAAGCTCAGGCTCCACATCGCGCCGCATCGCCGATGCATCTGCGACGCGGCGCGATCCTCCGACCCCATCTACTCGGCCCCATTAGGAGGCCTGGAAATAAGGAAAAAAATGACGCATCCAAACACCTCTCCCCCCCCCGGCATCCTGCCTTCCCGAGCCAGCATTCAGCCTCTGCTCCCAGGCGCCTCCATAATCTCCTCTATCAGGGCCTTGGGCACCCACAGCAGGCCACTGCCCTCGTCCTGGTATGCGGCGAGAGGGGCAAGCGAGGACCAAAGGGGGGCGGAGAAGGAAGACTTTAATTCGGAAGGGATGCGAGTGAAAGGAAGAGAGGAGCAGGGGGGGACATGGAGATCACTGGATGGAGAGGGGAGATGGGCGGGGACAGGATTGAGAGGGAGGGGAGCAAGGACTAGGGCAGTGAGGGGAGGGAGCGGAGGAAGAGAGGCGAGGGAACTGAGGTCTGAGAAGGATTAGCGGTAAAGAACGAAGAAAAATACCAAAGAGATGGAACAGGGAACGAAAACAGATGATATGGATCAGGATGACGGCACATATAAAAGGGAAGGTGAATATTCGGAGGAAAATTTCACTTGGTCATCGGTAGGACAGCAACACACAAATTCGGTACCTGCGTGGCCACTGGAGTGACGACGAAGGCGAAGGTAAAAACGAGGTTGAACTGGTGGTCGGAAATCAAGAACGGCCCAGAAGCCCGACAACCGAAAGACCTCAAACACACCCTACAACACCGCGCGCCAAGCCGACTCACTCCGTCGCCACTAGGCGCATTCCGCTCTATGTATTCCCGGCGGTATCTTTCCTGCGCGAATTCGGCCAACTTCCCATTCGGTGAAATATCAATCCAAAACGCGACCCATGGTCGCAGATCCGCCAATGCCATGATCCACTGGAAGTCGCATCGAATTTCCCAATATGTGTGGATTGCTGCTGCGGGCCAATAGCTGTACCCCAATTTCCGTGTTATCTTACATGGACTCGGGGCATGGAGATGACATGGCCAACGATTCCCCAACAATTCAGCTTGTGGTGCACGCCACCCGCACTAACAACGGCAGAATTGGGCTTCATCCTCTGATCGGGGCACGGAAGTACTCTCCATAACACCCCCTGATCGTTTCAGAATTGGGCTTCACCCCCCTTATCAACCTCACGGACGAACTCTTCATAACCCGCTCACAGCAGCACTGAAGGCACTTTTCATATATTCCCCCTGCCCCTGTTCCACTGCCAGCGGCACCCATACAACCAGCGGGCGCACTATCGACAGAACAAGTGAAGCATCATTGTGGCACAACTCGGAGAGATACGCACGGCAGCGTGCCGCTGATAGCATAATCGGCTCAACTATAGCTTGCACAAATCGAAGACACGTGGCGAATCCGCTCCCTATCATCCGTACCGCCTCCCTTTTCACCTTCTCCCTCCCCCCTCTCCTCCGCTCTCCTTCAATCGTCTCCCCTCCTCTCCTCCCCCGTTCCCCTCCCCCCCCTCCCCTCCCCTTTCCCCTGCCCCCTGCTCTCCCGTCCCCTCCTCCACTCTTTCCGTCATAGACTATGTCTTGGGACTCGAACTCCAACTCCACTCTTTCCGTCCCCTGCTCCCCTGCCCGGGTGTCGGAGAAAAGACAACGAATACTTTTGCAGCTGAAAATCGGGCCAGCAGAGTGCCTAGATGTCTGGTGAGGTCAATCCTGGAGTCTACCGCGACAGACAATCAGCGGAGGATGGCCGAACAGTGCTGGGTCAAGCTGCTTGTGCTACTGCTGCTCCTCCCCATCCTCCCACCCTTCGCCTCCTGCGCCTTCAATGGCGGCACAGCACCGCGACCAAAGCCTTCTTGATGGCTTCTTGGGCCGTCTTGGGGGCCTCTTGGGCCACCCGTTCGGCCTGGCTCGTCACGTATTTCTCTTCTCTTGAGCCCGTTGATGGTGACGTCTTCCAGCCAAACGTGGGATAGAGTTCTTCTCGGGGGCGGGTGAGTCCATGTGTCCCGCCCCATGATGCTCCATCAGGCCTTGAACGCCTGACACTGTCGGGCTTGCAGCCTTTGCAGGTCCACTCAGATTCGAGCCCTTGGGAAGCCCGACAGAGTCTCGAAGGCGCTGAGGGAGTACCTCGCCAGAGTCGAGCGAGGTCACTCTCCGAAGCACTGCTGCTGACATGGCTTCGCAACTGTCCCAACTGCGAATCGACCTCCTTCTCCGTCTGCCCCCTGGCCTGGGCCAGACTTCCGCCCCATCTGGGTGGTCCCGAAACGGTGCGATGACGGACCGGGCGGTGACCTCGAAATCCCCAAAGACCTCACCGCAAGGGTGCGTCACCGCGCGGTCTTGCGGCCTTGGAGGCCCTGGTCGTCTGAGACATCCTCGGAGGGCGACCCGAGTCACAAAACAGCGCCGCCACCCCGAATCCCTACCGAATCACCACACGGTGTGGTCACCGCGCCGTGTGGCGGCCCCCGAGGCTCCTCCCCTTCTGCTCCTTGCCCCTGCCAGGCCTCTTCCCCTCGTTGGCAGCCTGGCGCGCGGCCCTACCCCGCCCATCCTCGGAATCGTCGTCGTCCTCGGACGCATCGGGCTCCTCCACAGCAGGCTCTTCCACGGCCATGCCTCCCGTCCACTGGTATGGGGCGGAAGGGGTACTACAACGAGGGAGAGACGGAACAATCGATGTGCATAAACAAGTAAATGCACATTCGGGAATGAAACTACTCATGCACACAAGCCCACGTACGTGCTGGACACACACACATGTGTATAACCATACTCTTGTACAGTTGCATTATATATATATATATATATATATATATATATATGTATATATATAGGTATCATGCACACGTGCAGGCGCACCTGACACACTCTGCATGTGCCCCGGACGTGGTGCACCAGGCCTGGCTGGACTATGTGGCACACCTGGCGCACGTGGCGCATCTGGCGCACCAGGCGTGCCTGGCACGCTCGGACCCCAGGGGTGCCTGGCGCGCGTGGCGCGCCTGGCACGCGTGGCGCACGTCGCCCCAATGGGGTCTGTTTTGGCTACCAGTAGCTGCCCATCAAAATGCGACCGCTGAACATGCTTAGGCTCGGGTGTTACGTATTTGTTGGGAGGAAGGGTGGGAGTGAACTAGACGGCTTGCTACCTGGGAGGGTGTCTTGATCCCTCCCCTATACCCCCTTGCCTGGGCCTGGGAGGTGGGGGGGGCGGGTATTTAGAGTTTCGATGTTGCCCTAATGTGTCTTCTCCAAGAGGGCCCTCGGCAGCCCGAGGCGGTCTCCAAGATGGCTCAAACTAAGCGAGAATGGTTCAATCTAGCCTCCTACGTTCCTCCAAGAGCCCCCACGACAGCCCCAAGACGGTTCCAAGTGCCCTTCGAACCTTCCCAGGCACCCTCCAAGAGGCCAACATCGTTCAAACACCTGGGGAACATACATGGTTTTGACATTCGCGTTTTTTCGCTTCCGAAGGATTTGTGAAGCCTCGAGATGGCCCAAGAAAACCTCAAGAAAGGCTACGAATACCACCGAACGGCCTCAAGAGCGCCAAGAGACGCGCAAAAGCAGCCCGGGAACGCCTCAAAACGGCATTTTTGAGTCTCCGAGGGGGTGACCTGAATTGCCCACTCCCCCCGTCACTTCGAGCCGTGAGGGCCACGCGGCTCTGAGCACTGGGCGAGGTCGCCAGATGCCGCCCAACTTGGACGGCCGTCCGCGGATCACCCCAGCTAGGTACGGCTGCCCCCAAACAACCAGAAAACATACCCGTACCTAGCCGGGGTGTCGCAACTCCACCCCAGCTCGGTCCGGGTATGTTTCGGTGGTTTCAGGCAGGTCCCCGTGCCTAGCCGAGGTGGCGGCAGGCCCAAAACGCTCTCGAACAGATCACATGCCCTCCAGAACCGTCCCGAACATGGCCGCTGCGGCCCCCTGGGGGCGCGACGTTGCAACGTCGTTCCTCAGGGCCTGCCCAGACGCATTGGTTGCCAGGATGATGGCGAAGAAACGCATCTTGTTATCAATTGGGGCAAGCGCCACCACATATGGGCGGCTTTGAGCCGCGCACGCACCACGATGCCCCGAGACGTCCCTAACAAAAACCAGCGCTTGTCCCTGCAATCAGACACCCAACCGTCGAGCGCGCCGTTGCGTCTTGACACGCGGATGCTGCACTGGTAGCAAACGCCCAATCCCCCGGACGGCCCATTTCACCTTGGCTCGAGGCGTCCGAAGTTTCGGACGCCTCGAGCCACGCCGTGACAGGCCACTGAACAAGAACGAATGGTGAAACAACTGCGCTGACCTCTGCCGTGCTCTGCCGTGGCACTCTGGAGTATCAGCGGGGATATCGAACAAACCGCGTCCTCCAAGGCCATGGCTTCCGGAGTGAAAGATGAAACAGGCGGATCCGTGTACGCACCGCTCATAGCGATCGGGAACATGCGGCGACGGCCGTCGCGCAAAACCGCCGCTTCGGTGAAGCGGGCTCCAGCTGAGCAGGAGCCTGCGCGTGTCCCCCCCGTCTGAATGATGCAGTTGGCATCGAGCGCGCTAAAATCCTCCAGGGTTTGCGCGGCGTCTTTCCGCCAACTGGTGCCTAAATCCACAGTGTGATTCACAAGAAAATCAGCGACGCGATTGTTCTCGCGTCGGCGCCACAAAAAGGGCTCCCCTGCCTCAGACGCCGGAGACCATCCAACATCAATGAACTTGAAAATCTGGCCGGTGATCCTTTCAAACGCTGGCGTGAGCCCGGGTGTATTCAATGGCGCGTGCCCGCCTATCACTTCTGCGAGAGGTTTACAGTCCACCACGAAGACGAAACAACTGCATATACGATCAAACTCGATGGTGGGCAACCCGTCTCCATGATGATCCGGGCATCCGTCCAAGCTGCAATGAAGACACTTTCTGCGTTTGTTGAGGCCGGCCAGGGTGTCTACGCGGATGTCCTGTGCCCACTGGCCTCGGCTAGGCAGCCGCCACTGCGTACACACCAAAGCTCGGAATTCGTCAAAATGCTTATTCCAAGACTCATATGAAACGCACGTGTCGCGTCTTCGGCGCCACTTTGTTCCGAAGGCTGTGCAGAAAATGTCCTCCCACTCGCAACGATAACCGAATCCTGCATGCACGATGCGCTCCGCTTGGCGCTGCTTCTCGAACTCTCTGACACTTTCCCAAAAGAGCCGGCTGCGGCAAGCCCTTGCCAGCCTGTGCCATCGTTCGTTCCTTCCCTCCTCCTTTCCTGCCCCCTCGATTCTTTCCCTCCTCCTCCTCTTCCTCCTCCTCCTCCTCTTCCTCTCCCTCCTTCTTCATTATTGTTCCTCCTCCTCCTCCTAACCCCAAGATGGTTCTAGGTCGAGCATGGCTCAAGATAGCTTCCGACAGACCTCCGATAGGCCTCAAGACAGCCCCACGATGGCCCAAGATAGCTGAGCATGGCTCAAGATAGCCTCCGACAGCCTCTAGCCGAGCATGGCTCTGGTGGGGATACGCTACGCGTCAAGCTTCGTGTCGCGTGTGATGTACTGCAAGGCGCAACTGCACGAGTTCCTGCACCGACTAGGCCCAAAGCACGCCCCGGTCCAACCCTCCAAATCGGGCACGGGGTTGTCCCATGGTTTTTCCGTGGTTGCGTTGCCCCGCGGTTGTCCCGCGGGTGTCCAATTTTGTCCCGAGATTATCCTGTTGTTGTCTCGTGGTTTTCCTGTGGTTGTCCCGTGATAATCCTATAGCTATGGTTGTCCCGCGGCTGTCCCGTGACTGTCGCGTGGTTTTCCCCGTGGTCGTCCCGTGGTTGCTCTGGTGCTGCCCCGTGGCTGGGACCCTAACGAACGGGTCGGGCGGTCTCAACGGGGGGATCGTGCGGGCGGGACATTAACGGTTCCTGAGTAAATAGTGGGAAAGTCTCGTGCGAGAGCGCGATTCCTAGACGTTGAGAACGCAGCGCCTAAGAAGTAAATATCAAGGGGCGTCGCAGATGAGAGCGCGATTCCTGGGTAAATCGTTGGGACGATTGGGCGGGAAGTATTCGGCAGGAGGCGTTGTTGTGGTTGAAGACGTGCTCTTCTAAAAAGCAGGGTGCGAGCCAAAGGGGGGGCACTTCCATTGAAATTCGCTGGCCAAGCGGGCCGGAGGCGCAGAAAACTCTTCGGTAAGAGTTCTAGGCACGTGGAGGCCCCCGGGGGTCCCCAGACGAAAATGCAGTGCAAGAAAGTCCGGGCAAATCCCGGCATGGTCCCGGCAGGTGCGGGTCAGAGCTGCCGGAACTCCTGGGCGCGGCCTCGGGGCCCCAGGAGCGCCCCAATGAGGCACCGAATGGGTGGCAGGCCCCACGGCCTCAGGCCAAGAGCGTTCCAAGATGGCCCACGTTGGTCCCAAGACGGCCGAAGAAGCGCCCGAGATGCTCCAGGATGGATCCAAGAGGACTGTGAGAGGCCCCCCAAACACACAAAGTATTGATTTTGCATGGATTTTCACACGATTTTGGCGGTACCGCCTTTTCGAGCTGCCGACCGCCCTGGACGGCCCAAGAGGCCCCAAGATCGTTCCGAAACGGCCCCCAAAAGCCTCCACAAGGGCCCCCAAATGGCTCAAAATGGCCTTAAGACGCACCAGAAGGCCTGCAAGACGGCCCCAGGATGGCCCCAAGAGGGGGCCCAAAGGGGGAGCCCGAACGGACATTTCGAGCTCTCGGCCTCAAGAGGCGCCAAGCCCCCAGAGGCCCCCAAGAGCCCTCAAGAGGCCCCCACAATCCAGGTACGTCTCAAAACTCTGCTGTAGCTCTTTCGAGCCATCTTGGCGCCCTCTGGGGCAGTCTATCGGCTCTTCGACAGGGTGGGAGCCACATCTCCAAAGATCTCCTCGAAGACATTCCTGCCTGCCATACCGTTCCCCGTGGGCACGAGCACACCACCACGCAGCCACATTGATGCGAAACGGGCTGGCGGAATGAGCGAAGCGATTAAATAAATATACGCTGCGCGCTGACGAGGGGATACGCACTAGAAGTGGTATCCCAACATCACCGGCAATCATGTTAAGACTGTTCGCTCTCCGTTGCCCGCGTGCCACTCAACATGTATAGTGCCAAACTCTCGATACATGCCCTCTTCGTCGTTGATCATGTGCCCCATTTGTATGTGTATATATTTACACGTACTTATGTATGCATGTGTTTATACTTGTTAGAACAACGCGCGCTACGCGACCGCAGAATTTATAGTTGCCTTCGGAATCGCAATGAAGAAATATGAACCCCAAGATGCCAGAGGCCCGATGATACAAGAAGATGCCACTTGCCAGATCTCTTCCTCTTCGCCGTGTCTTCCTCGGACTGGCGGCCAAGATCATTTTCTTGGAGAGCTCTGAAGGGCAACGCAAGGACATGCTGGAGAAATTCCTGCTCCGATGACGGGTGACGACTATCAGGTTCCCAGAAGGCCCTCCAGGAACCTGAAAGCGCGCCAGTGTGGGAGCCCTCGTGGAGGCCTGGAGGCCTCTGTAAGCCCCTTTCGGTGTGTAAGGGCTCATTTGAAATACAGGGAAACCTGGGCGACGAGAATCACGTTCCCAGAAGGCTCTTGTCGGGGTGTCGAGGCTCATTAGGGGGAGCTTTTTGGGGCTCCTCGGTCTCGTGTAGAACCCCTTTGGAGTGTCGAGGCTCGAAGTACGCCTTCTTGCGGTGTGCGGGGGCTCTCTCGTGGATGCTTCTTGGGCCGTCCCCGCGCGTCTAGAAGCGGAGCAGACGATCAATTACGAAGCATTGGGAACGACAGAAAATCACTGATTTCTCCTCATTGCGGCTCTCTCGGAGGGCAGTTTGGAGCCTCATTGGGGCGTCTTGAATGCCTCGTGGGCTACATGGACGCGTTGGTGGGCGTGCTGGGGCCGTTGTGGAACCCTGCGGGCCATCTTTTCGAACCCCTTAGCGTGTCCAGGCTCATTTAGAGAACCGCCTTGAGCCCTCTCGGGCCATCTTGGGCGCCTCTTGGGCCGGTTTGGCGCGCCGCCTTGGGGCGTGTTGAATCGTGCACGCCTCGCGTGCCGTCTCCGAGGTGTCGGGAAGCGGAGCAGTCGACCACGCGAAAATCAATGAACAACCAATTGGAAATCAATGATGTTTGCCTACTGGGGCTGTTTTGGAAAGCAACTTGAGACCTCTCGGGCCGTCTTGGATGCCTCGTGGGCTGCATCGGAGCGATGGAGGGCGTGCTGGGGCCCTTTTGGGGCCCGTGGGCCTCGTGTACGGCCCCCGTAGCGTGTCCCAGCTCATTTGGGGGGCCGTGTCCTCTAAGGCGATTTTGAGCGCCTCTTGGGCCGTATTGGCGCCCTCTTGGGGTGTCCTGGTGCCCTTTTGGGCGTCTCTCGTGCGGTCTCCAGGCGGGGCGCAGCGGAGCAGACGACCACACGAAAATCCACGAACAACGAAAAGACAAATCAATCATTTTCGCTCCTGGGAACCTCTCTTGGGGATCAACTTGAAGCTCTCTTGGGGCGTCTTGAAGGCCACGTGAGCCGTCTCGAAGCAATGGTCAGCGTGCTGGGAGCGCTTTGGTGTGCTTTCTGGCTCCCTTGAGGGCGGGCCCTTTTTGCTCGAACTTTGAACTTGGTTTTCCCCCTCTGGGACCCCTCTTGAGCCTGCCCTGGGGCTCTCTTGGACCATCTTTGGGGCCTCCTGGCCCGTCTTGGGAGCCTCTCGGGCGCTGTGAAAGCTCAAGAGGTGAATCTGCTAACGATGATTTTTTCCATAAGGGAATGGGACGGCTTTTGTTTTTGAGGCCCTCTGGGGGGAGCCTCTTGGGGCGTCTCTGGGCTGTCGCGGTGTCATCTTGGCAGTCTTGTAACTCTCGTGGGGCGCTTTGGGGGGCCTCAAGGGCCAGTCGGAGGCTGTCTTGGGCCGTCTTGGAAGTTTCTCGGGCTTTCTGGAGCCCCCGGGGGTCGCATGGAGAGGTCCCCAGAGAGAAAGGGACCGAATTACGGGAGGTTCCGGCCCTGACTTGTTATATATATATATATATATAAAACATACATAAATAAAAATGAAAAAGGAATACAACTATGCACATGTACACATATACACATATATATAAACATATTTATATATACACATACATACACATGTGTGTTTCTTCCTCTCTCTCTATATATATATATGTATGTATCCTCTTCGGCTGCCGTGTGCAATTGGCGCGCTTGTCTCCGAAACAGGAAGAAGAGGACAACGGGAAAAGGGAGACAGCGAAGGGCAGCCAGGAGAACATGAGAAGTGGCGAAAACGCTCCCCCATTCCCCTCTGCCTGGCGCGGGAGCGAGCTGCGGAGCCCGGCTTACCTCCCCGACGCGCGAGCTCCACGCCAAGGCCCGCCCGCGCTCGAGCAAAATCGGCTGAAAGCGGCGTTCGTCACGCAACGCCTCCCGCCGACCGGATTCCCCCCCCCCCGATTGCCGCCATCCCTCCCCTGCGTGCCTCTGATGTGCTGTTTGTTCTCTCTTTCTTTGTGTTCCCCCTCTCTCTCTCTCTCTTTCCTTCTCCCCATCCATCTCTCCACTGCCTGAAACACTTGAACTCGAGCCAGCGACGGAAGCAAGGCGAAAAGCCACTGGGCCAAAGCAGCCCACAACTCCAAGACTGTCGACCGGCGCCCCCCGCAGAACAGTCCCCCGTACGCGCCACCAGGCACACGCTGGCGTGAACAACGAAAGGACGCAGACTCGTCGGAAGACGGGGTCGAGTCCGACGCGCAGTAACATTCCAGTGAAGTTCTTGCCGCCGCCACGAGCAACGCAGTAACTGACGGCGAGAGTGACACCAATAAGTCAGCTCCAACTCAAATCACTCATAACTCAAAGCCTAGCCGACACCAAAACCATGCCCAAACTCATGACGGACACGCGGGAAGAACCTATCCTGGGCAGATACTGGAACCCAGGATCGTGCTCGGACGAAACCAGCCCAAGGGGGGAGGCTTTCAAAGCGGAGTGCTACCAGGAACTCCCAGAGCTAACACCAGCCCAACCGTTCGTCCTGACCGACGAAGCCGTGATCCTTTTCATTCGGACCCGGACCGCCGTCAAGGCCGGGGGCATGGACGGGTGCACCACATAGAAAGCCAAAAACGCTCCCGGACGGAGTCCTCCGCCTCTTCGCCAAAGCGCCGAGGGCAATGCAGCGCGTGGGGCAAGTGCCTGAATCTCTTCTGCAAATGCCAAACCTAAGCCTTCGGAACAAAAGGCAGAAAGGCGAGTTCCCCGCCGGTAACTGGGCGACGATCACAAGCCGCTACGCGGTGGCTTACGCGGGCCGCCCGAGTGGCACGCTACATTTGAAGCGAGAACGCTTTCGCGCGACCTTACGCGGGCAACTTGCGCAACAACGTCGTCGCAGACGACCCTTTTCGCATCGCCCAGATGTGCGTCATGTCATGCCAATGTGGACGCACACGTGGGAAACGCTAGTCCACCTCGGCCTTCCATCCTGGAAGGCCCACTAGACCCGCCCAGCGAGATTCGGCACGGTCCCGCGGGCCACGATCGGGGACGTCCGCGCGACTCTTGCGACGCAGGTCGAACGCGCGCGCCGCGGCCGAGCCCCTTTGGCATGGGCTGCGCTGGACCGGCAAAGCTACTTCTACCACCTCGTCACGGACATCTGCCTCAACATTGCGTTGTGCTCTGGATGTCCGCCCTGTATCGCGCAAGTCAGACGACGCTTTGACGACGATCAGACCCGTGGCGCGTAACAGCGTGCACATCCAAGGCAGCTCATTCTCCCTTGGCGACGACGAGCTCCTCGCGCGCGCATGGGCCAAGCGACAGCGCCAGCGCGCGCCTCGCTCTTTGAGCGCAGCGTTCGTCGACGACGGCAGCTCCGCAGCTTCTGCTGCAGATGGCCCCAGATATCCTTCGATGAAGCTGTCCTTGTCCTCCGGGTACCAGGCCTTAAAAATCGAATATGGTAAAAATGCACGTTTTACGAAAAGGGCGGGGCTATTTTTGCTTCCCGGGGCCGTCTGGGGGGATCTCTTGGAGGGGTCTTCGAGCGTCTTGGAGGCGTCTGGGGCGGTCTGGGGCGGTTCGAGACGCCTCTTGAGCCGCCGGAGGCCGCTGGAGGTTGTCTTCAGGGTGGCTGTGGGCGGCCTGGGGCCGCCTGGACGGCCGTCTGGGCGCTCTGGGGGCCGACCTGGGGCCCGCCGGGGAGCGGGCTGGGCCCGACGTCCCCCCATTTGCGGTCGGGGCTGCGGCCCCCCCCGTGGCCTCTGGGCCAGGTGCGGCGTTATATGTATATACTATATGTCCTCCTTGGAGGCGCGCGTCCGACCCGAACACATAGTGTACCCATCTTGTAATATATCGTTTCCCGAGCGGTCTGGTCAGAAAGCGACCGCCACGACGCATATACTATAAGATTTCTCGGTGCGCGCGTCGCCCCTGGGGGGGCGACGCACATCTAGTATAAGTATGCTGGGGTGACGCCGACTTGATGCTGTCGCGCTCGGGCTCAGAGGTACTCTGACCTGAGGTGTTCTAGCCCGTTTCGCCTGAGACATCCTCGCAACTCCAGGCTCAAAGATGCCGCGCGCTAGGTGGTCTGACTCGTTTCGCCTGAGACACTCTCGCAACTCTGGTCTCAGAACTTTTGTGGCCTGATGTGATCTGGCTCAAATCGCCCGAGACATCCTCGCAACTCTGGGCTCGAAGTTGCGATGCGCGAGGTTGTCCAGCCCGGTTCGCCTGAGAAATCTTTTCCACTCTGGGCTTGGAGATGCTCCTGACTTGAGGTGTTCTGGCCAGTGTCGCCTGAGACATCTTCGCAATTCTGGGCTCGCGCCCGAGATCGTTTGGCTAGTTTAGTCCGACCCATCCCCGCAACTCCAGGCTCAGGGGTGATGCGCTTGAGATACTCTGGCCGGATTCGCCTGAGACATCTTCGCAAGTTGGGCTCCAAGATGCAGTGCGAGAGATGGTCTGGCCCATTTCGCCTGCGATATCCTCGCAACGCTGGGCTCGGAGATGGCTTTCGCGAGGTGGTCTGGCTCATTTCGCCTTAGACACCCTTGCAACTCTCGGCTCAGACTCAGACGTGCCGTGCACGGAGCGGCCTGGACACTCTCGCCAGAGACATCATCGCAACTCTGGGATTAGAGATGCTCTGGCCTGAGATCGTCCGGCCCGATTCTTAAAACGTCCTCGCATCTATAAGCTCAAATATGCCCTGACCTGAGGTGGTCCGGCCCAATTCGCCTTGGACATTCCCGCAACTCTGCTCTCTGGATGCCAGGCGCGAGGTGGTCCAGCCAGTTTAGCCTGAGGTATTCTCGCAACTCTGGGCTCCCAAATGTCGCATGTGGGCTGATTTTGCCATTTTCGCCTACGACATCCTCGCAATTCTGCACTCCAGCATGCCGCGCACGAAGGTCTGGCCAACTTTGCCCGATAGAGGTGGTCTGGCTCGTTCTGCCTGAGACATCTTTGCAACTCTGGGCTCAGGCAAACCGCGCGCGAGGTTGGCTGGTGCGCTTCGCCTAAGACATCTTCGCAACTCCAGGCTCAGAGATGCTGCACGCGAGGTGGTCTGGCCAATTTCTCCTGCGGCATCAGTGCGTTTCCAGGCCCATAGATGCCCTGACATTAAGTAGCCTGGCTAGTTTGTCCTGAGACCTCTTCGCGGCTCTGGGTTCCGAGATGTGGCGTGTGAGGTGGCTCAGCCCGTTCGCCTGAGACATTCTCAGAAAAAGGGTTCCCAGACGGGGCCAGGACCAAACGACCAGCGTGATTACAATGCTGTCATCGAATCATCCTCCAGAATGGGTTCAAGCGCCCGTGGCCCGAGGAGGCAATTAGCTGGCACCGAGGCACGAGCAAGATTTCTGATTCATTTGGAAGGACGCGTCAGGCGGGAGCGCGAGGCCAGAATACATGTTGCTGAGGAAGTATCCGGCGAGAGGAGAAATATGAAGGCAAGGGGGAGAGCCCCTGAGGTTTCTCTTGGCAACTTCTTGGGAGCATCTGGGCGCGTCGAGGGGTCGTTCAGTGGCGCATCGGGGCCGTCTGGAGGCGATCAGGAGGCCTCGGCAGCCCATCAGAAGGGAGAACGCGAGAAGGCACATTCATGGACGTTCAATGGGTTTTCGACGGATTTTTGGCTTCTCGGAGGTGTCGTGCAGGGTCGCCTGGGGCCTTTCGGGGGCCTCTTGCTGGTCTCTCGTGGGCCTCTCGGGGGCCTCATGGGGGCGTGATGGCCGTCTGGGGGCGGAGAGCAGGACATGTAAGTTGGAATCCTTCCTCTTAACTCCGGGCCCTCGGGAGGGCTGTTGGGGTAATTTCTATGTTTCCTTCTGGTTGGACGACGAGGAGAGGTCCGACCACGGATATCAATGAAAGTGGGCAGTGGGCATCATCCGCAGTGCGAGTACAAGGGTCGCCAGGCAGGCCAGGAAACCACGCAAGCCGAGCTGCAATGAGCAAACTCATCTTCCGAACTGCTTTTTCGAGAAAACTGCAATGCGGATAGAAAGGTCGCCAGGTAGGCGAGGAAGCCACGCAAGCCGAACTTCAATGAGCCAGCTCATGCTCCGAAATGCTGAACATTACAGCCTGAGACTGAAACCTACAGCGCTGCATCCCAATATCACCCTGAGGCCCAGACGGCGAAATCTCAACGAAGAAAGGACGCGACAAGGCAAATATGGAGGGAAGAATAGAAGGAGGGGTGAGACACCAACCCGCACCCGCGTACGCCGACTGATTCTCGCCAAAAAACTCGCACACTTGCACACAAGTGCATGTCCCGGGTAAGAGCATAACAGAAAAAGGCCGGAGGCGAAAGGAGATAAAGAGAGAGAGATAGGGAGAGTGTGTCAGAGAGAGAGAGAGAGACACACGCAAACAACAATGAACGACAGAAAGAGAGAGAGAGAGAGAGACAGAGAGAAGTGGCATGCGAAAGAGCCACGAGCATCCACACGCAGTGGCTGGCACTCGTGTGCCATTCAACAGGGGGGCCCCGACTCCAAGCAAGATAGAAATATCATGACTCAAACTATACCATCCAGTAAGAAGACAACGCGACGTTCCATACGTACGAAACAACGATTCCCGCCTGGCGGGTGCCAGTAGCTGACAATCAAGTCTGCACGATCGATACCGTTCTGATTAGCACACGGTCCCCGCTCTGCAATGCCAGCGGCACACGCGGAGGAGGAGGAGGGACGAGGGGGGAGGAGGGAGGTGATTCCTCATGACAGATGAGGTCTTAGAACGACGGGGACAAAAAGGAGGGGCATGCCTTACGGCCTCCTCCACATTCGGAGGGCCTCTGCTTGTCTACTCATTGGTGCTTTTAGTGGAAGCCAGCAGTACGTGCTGGAAGGATGCCAAGATCATGCCG